TAAAATTGTTATTTTTTTTGAGAATATAATAAATTCGCTGCTCGCTGAGCTTACTAATAGTTCTCAAACTTTCTGTTGACTGTATTCATTTTTTATCTCATTTAATTGGTTTTTATAATATGGTTTTTATAATATAATTGAGTTTTATTAAGTCAAAAGTTTTGCCAAACGAGGCCATTTCCCTTCCACCAATGATGAGCATTTTATTATGAGCAGTGATTAAGTAAAGTACTTTTGATGAGGGTGTCTGTCGTTCAAAGACCACAGTCCCAAGTTTTGTTTTTGAGGCTCGTTTTTGTAGTTTTTTCAAAGTTTACTAGTTAGATTTCTTTCCGATGGTCAATGCGAATTGTTGCGGCGTAAAAATGTCGGAAATTATTCAAGCAATCGTTTTTCAATAATTTGCTTAACGAGTTCGCTTATTCTAGTTGGTGTTACGCAAATGTCTGTTCGAATTTTGTGTTCACTTTGTTAGCAGTATATGCATATAATTCAGCGCCAATTACACTCGGTTTTGATATTAAATCAAGCTATTTCATGTTTTATTGCATCTGAAAGATATTGATGGCCTTGAGCTCGAAATTAAAAAATGTTCCAACTGTGACCATTGTTGCAAAGTTTTGTGGAATTGAAATTTGCCCAATTTGAGATAATTAAAGCGCGCCGTACCAATTTTTTCGAAATGGAATCGGGATTTAGACCTTTGAGCTTATACAACTCTTTTTAAAGTTTTGTTCTAGTCCCGGCCGGACATTGTTTTTTCGAAATATGAAAATTGATTTTTTTTCTGTGAAAGCTCAAGGTTACAATATCGTTTGCTTGCCTATTTTTCTTAACTTACTTTCCTAAGCATGGTTTTCTTCTGAGCTAAGCTTTCGTGCTATCATTGAATTTGTAAATTTACCAACTGATTTTGTATAATTTCCAGTTTTTTTTCGCTTTTCCGGTTTTTGGCTGATGTTAAATCGGCGTGATCAACTTATATTGCCTAATTAGAAGGGGCAAAAGGTTTTCTTATCCTTTGTGAGTGGTAGGGGTAGGGCCTATTTTCTATTTGCGGCTCAACGGCCGTTGATGCACGTAATTTTGGCTAAATTAGCGATCGGTGAATGGTTCTGTTGCTTTTTCAACGCTGTTCTTCAACACTGCTCGCAGGATTCTTCACATTGAACATCATTTGAGACAAATGAATTAAATTGAGACTAATTTTTGTAGATATAGATTTCTCGACATTTCACTCGCATTTTTTCGACTTAGTGGCTTCCGTTTTCTTTGTCAGCCGCTAGCTTGCAATGCTATCTTTGTGTGTATCCTATGGTTTGCAAAGCACTTGTGGTTACTATTGCGTAGTGTGAGCAGCAAATCAATCCGATTCGAAATCTTTCCAAATTGAATTGAGGCAAACTATGTCATCTTTGCAAGCCGTTGCAGGACGACAAATATATCACTTTGTTCTTTACAAAGTGTTGCGGGGCCTGAAAATTGCGTGAGGGGAAGAAATGGAGGAAAAGAAGGAGCGTTTCAATGAGGTGTTACGATACGTGTGAAAGAAGACGAGTGAAAGAAGACGATTCAAGCGTCTCTTTAGTGCAACTTCACCTTCGTATAAGTTTCCACTGATTTCTGAAAAGGCTGGGGCCATTTAAATGAATTTTATGAACAAATGATTAAGAGTAATAAATGTAGTGAAGTCTCTTATATAGGTCTTGCTGATTTTTTTTTCAGGTAAAAGTTTTGAAATATTGATGCACTTAGCTATAAATGCACTTTTTGAGTTCAATTGAAATTCATCTGCTGAAAGTGACGTAAATATCACTCTCCAAATACGAACGTGGAAATGGCGCAAAAAACGTGAACGATTTCTAGTTTCTAAAGTGGAATTTATTTTTAAGATTTCCCAGCGGAATAAAAACTTTAACTATTGATCCAATTTTCTCAAGTTGGTTTAATGCTATCAAAAAAGCGCCTATCGTAAATCGTACTAGAAATTCAAAGAGCTTAAAGGACATCTATTTTTTCTTTGTGTTTCCCTTAACTTACTTTCCTAAGCATGGTTTTCTTCTGAGCTAAGCTTTCGTGCTATCATTGAATTTGTAAATTTACCAACTGATTTTGTATAATTTCCAGTTTTTTTTCGCTTTTCCGGTTTTTGGCTGATGTTAAATCGGCGTGATCAACTTATATTGCCTAATTAGAAGGGGCAAAAGGTTTTCTTATCCTTTGTGAGTGGTAGGGGTAGGGCCTATTTTCTATTTGCGGCTCAACGGCCGTTGATGCACGTAATTTTGGCTAAATTAGCGATCGGTGAATGGTTCTGTTGCTTTTTCAACGCTGTTCTTCAACACTGCTCGCAGGATTCTTCACATTGAACATCATTTGAGACAAATGAATTAAATTGAGACTAATTTTTGTAGATATAGATTTCTCGACATTTCACTCGCATTTTTTCGACTTAGTGGCTTCCGTTTTCTTTGTCAGCCGCTAGCTTGCAATGCTATCTTTGTGTGTATCCTATGGTTTGCAAAGCACTTGTGGTTACTATTGCGTAGTGTGAGCAGCAAATCAATCCGATTCGAAATCTTTCCAAATTGAATTGAGGCAAACTATGTCATCTTTGCAAGCCGTTGCAGGACGACAAATATATCACTTTGTTCTTTACAAAGTGTTGCGGGGCCTGAAAATTGCGTGAGGGGAAGAAATGGAGGAAAAGAAGGAGCGTTTCAATGAGGTGTTACGATACGTGTGAAAGAAGACGAGTGAAAGAAGACGATTCAAGCGTCTCTTTAGTGCAACTTCACCTTCGTATAAGTTTCCACTGATTTCTGAAAAGGCTGGGGCCATTTAAATGAATTTTATGAACAAATGATTAAGAGTAATAAATGTAGTGAAGACTCTTATATAGGTCTTGCTGATTTTTTTTCAGGTAAAAGTTTTGAAATATTGATGCACTTAGCTATAAATGCACTTTTGAGTTCAATTGAAATTCATCTGCTGAAAGTGACGTAAATATCACTCTCCAAATACGAACGTGGAAATGGCGCAAAAAACGTGAACGATTTCTAGTTTCTAAAGTGGAATTTATTTTTAAGATTTCCCAGCGGAATAAAAACTTTAACTATTGATCCAATTTTCTCAAGTTGGATTAATGCTATCAAAAAAGCGCCTATCGTAAATCGTACTAGAAATTCAAAGAGCTTAAAGGACATCTATTTTTTCTTTGTGTTTCGAAAGTTGCAATTTTTTCAACAAAGTCAATGTTTGTTCAGTGTTTTTTCAATGTTTACTTGCGTTCATTATTCTTTTCCAATCTTCGATTGTCTATGTTTTTCAGTAGCGAAGCTTGTGTTATAGCGAAGCTTGTGTTCAAACCGATAATTTTTCCCCAACAAATTGCGCAAAACACGCCACAGTTCATATTGCAATAATTTAAATCAAAGATTGAAATGGTTTCATTATGATTCGTTTTTTTCTGTGTGTGTTTGTAATGCAAGAAAAAATAACACTCGACAACTCAGAGAGTCTTTTATGTGCGGCCTTTAAATCTGTAAATTGGGGAATCGATTCAAAGTTGTGCACCATATACAGTGCTGATTTAAAATAACCGGACAAAACGAGCTTAACTTGAAATTTAAAACGCGTTTTTCTCAAATTGGGTTGAGTTTAGGTGAAAACATATGAAGACAAAACTTGCTTAAAATTTTAGCAGAATTAATATGGTGTTATTTGTTTTTGCAATTTTTTTTGAAGAAAAAACCCTTCTTAAAGTTTGTTGGGCTACATAAGGGGCTCACTCTGATATAATTATGTCTGTAATCGACTTGGTTTTTTTGGCGTAGGGTTTGATTAACTAAGAAAAGCCAAAATTACCCTTTTTTGGGGGTAAAATTTCGGTCCCGAATTTTGCGAAACAAGTTACACCATATTAATTCTGCTAAAATTTTAAGCAAGTTTTGTCTTAATAAGTTTTCACCTAAACTCTACCCAATTTGAGAAAAACGCGTTTTAAATTTCAAGTTTAACGCGTTTTATCCGGTTAATTTGAATCAGCACTGTACAGTGCTGATTTAAATTATACGAACAAAATGAACGAAACTTGAATTTTCAAATACGTTTTTCTCAATTTGGGTTAAAATTAAACAAAATGTGAAGAGAACAAAAATTGCTCAGAATTTCATCAGAACTAATATGTTGCAATTTTTCCCCGAAATTCTCAACCAAAATTTTACCCCGTAAATGGGTCATTTTGGCTTTTTTCAGTTAATCAAAAATTAAGCTGAAACTACTTTGTTAATTGATGAGGATTATACATCACAAGACGCTTCTTACACAGCCCAACAAATTTCTAGAAAGGTTAAATCTCCCAAAATTGTAAGAGAAAATATTTTTGCATGATAGTCAAGAAACGTGATTTTTACTATATAAAACCCAAAATCTTTGCTTAAAAACAAATTTTAAACAATATACTCAAATTTTTGGAGATTTAACCTTTCTAGAATTTTGTTGGGCTGTGAAAGAGGCTTCTTGTGATATATATTTCTCATCAATAGTTTCAGCAAAATAGTTTCAGCGTAATTCTTGATTAACTGAAAAAAGCCAAAATGACCCATTTATGGGGTAAAATTTTGGTTGAGAATTTTGGAGAAAAAATTGCACCGTATTAATTCTGATGAAATTTTAAGCAACTTTTGTTCTCTTCTCTTTTTGTCCAATATTAACCTAATTTGAGAAAAACGTGTTTGAAAATTCAAGTTTTGTTCGTTTTGTCCGGATAATTTAAATCAGCACTCTATTTGTTAGGTACATTCAAAAAGTTTGCATTTTGCGTTGCCGGTTATTTTGCCTGTTTTTACAGCAATCGCAATTTTAGGAGGATATCTAGCTTTAATAAATCATCTGCTGGGAAGTGACCAAGAATCTGCAAATAGGAGTTAAAAATTTTCCATGATTCTTTCTGTGCTTGACTTTGTCTGCTGGATATATTTTTTTAAAATTTCATTTAGGAGTGTTTTTGGCAAAGAGACGATCACTAGACGCTTTGTTTTCGTCGAAGATTTTTTCTTGGACGAGTCAATACAGTGGAATCATTCTACATGTTGCAACAACATCTGCAAATGCGATCGTTTCCCATCACTAGAGGATGATGAAATGAAGCGAACTCTTTGTAGTTTTTACCAATATTTGCAGAAAGCAGTACAACGAAGAGTTTTGTCTATTCGCAGTAGCCTGCGTTGTGGAATTTTGTTTAGTGGTGGCTTAGATTCTGCCGTGCTTGCCGCATTGATGGACCAGTTCTACGACAAGGAGCGCGAGATTGAGTTGATTAATGTTGCTTTTGAAGTGAATGGCCAATTCGAGACACCAGACCGAAAGACTAGCGTGAAGGCTTTGATGTTAGTCGTAGTCATTTCGTAACATGGGGTCAATTTCAACGGTTGACGTTTTAAAAAATGGGATTCTTCAAAAGTGACTTGCGCCTCTAACAAATTAGCTCTTTCTACAGCTGAAATGTTATAAGCAAAAATGGATTAGGTGAAAAATTGTTTAAGTAAAATATGAAAATATGTTTTAATCGTTTTACCCTAAAATTTTCATCATTACGCTAGCGAGCAGCTAGTGTTTTAGTACGAACCTTCTTTTTTTCCAACTTAACTCGCAAATAAAATTGTTCACTTGTGAGCCTTTTTGCTATAACCACGATCTGTAGCATTGGAAATTACATAGCATCTGTTCTCGGTTTTTATTTGTGGCTAGTGTTTGAGATGGAGTGAGCTTCCGTGGCTGAAGGGTTAGTGCGTGAGACATATAATTTCTAGATAATAGGCCCGAGTCGTCGCCGAATTTTTACTATTTAGAGGCTTTTTTTTTACTTTTTCTTTCTTATTGCACTTTTTGGAACTCTATAGCTGCTTTTTGTCGTATTCTCGCTAGTGTTCGCGAAGCGCAGCTTCGACTATGTGTACATCTCGCTGATTTGGTCAAGTTGTCCTGATTGATAGTTATTGTAATTGCAGAGAATTGGAAAAAATAGCCCCGAACAGAACATGGAAACTGATTTTCGTAAATATCACAAAAGCGGAGCTTCAAGATGCACGAACACAGTATATCAGCAGAGTTTTGTATCCTTGTGAAAGCGTGTTAGATGACAGCATAGGATGCTCCCTGTGGTTTGCGGCTAAAGGGGCGTGCTCAACTGTCCTTTTGTCTGGAATCGGGGCGGACGAGCAACTGGGGGGATACTCAAGACACAGGGGGGCGTTTGAGAAAGGAGGCTGGAAGTGTATGCACGAGGAAATGAGGCAAGACTTGATGAGAATTGGAGCTAGAAACATGGGTAATTATTAAATTCAAAAAGTTTATTAATTACCTAGTTTAATAATTAATTTAGCCCATGGTTAAATTAATTTTTTGCACAGTTTATATGGCCTTGTTTTCTAGCCTCTTAGCGTCCTAAATCTCATAATATTAATTGATTCAATGTAATGATCATTTTAATTTTGAAACATGGCTAAAGTTTTTCAACAAAATTCAAAAGTTACTACGTAAATTTTTTCCCTTAAAGACCTGTTTTCCCCTTCCTCGTTTTTCAGTCTGTCAAGTATCTGCTTTTTTGGCTATGTCCCCTCACCGTGCACTTTTCTTAATAACTGCATTTCAAATTTTGAAGAAAACCATATCTAAAAATTTTGGTGGTGCAGGATCTAAGATTTTGTTGAATTTCTGCAGTTTTTTCGCGTTTAAGGTTTCTGGCTTTAATTGTGTCGGCTTGTGTCATCGATCAAGGTGTCGTGTCTACCCAAGACGTGCATAGTAATTACTTGATAATTGTGTTCAGGTTTTTTAATGCTGGCAATTGTGTTTTGCGATAAGTTTGTATCGATTTGAATTTTTCTTGAGATAGTATGATATCTCACCTTATGATATTCTAGTGGATGTTTTTCTGCCTTTTTTTACTCTTGTGATAAGCTAGGGTATTGCAATCGGGTACTAGACTTTTTTCTCGTAAATAACTTTGCTCACAGAAAGGTCAGAATTAGAAATGGTAAATATTAGTTCAGTTCAAGTTCATCAAATTTCTTATCGTTCACAACACACTTAGACTGGAGGTAACGAATAAGCCTGGGACCGCAAAGGTCCAGGGTTCGAATCTGATAGGACTTTTTTTAGATGAAATTTTTTGTTTCAAAAAAATTGTCGGCTGATTAATTGTCTGCTTATGTTTTGTCGGTTTAGTTGCCACATCGTGGAATTTTCTTGTTGTTTTCGCAATTAACATTGTAAACGCTTTAAGTGTTCTGTTTTATTTCTCCTGTTTGTAAAATACTTACCTTGGCTTCGTAGATTTTTTTTGTTGTTTTTTTTTTGCTTGAGAACTTTATTCTGCCCAAATGATTTCGGCTTATAATTTATCGGCTTTGAGTCGTGTTAAGGGAAAAAATTTTCTATACTCACCCCTGCATCGCAAAAAATGCTTAAATTCTTCATAGAAATTATATTTTGAATTTTTCGTCACATTTTTTTTAGCTTTGCTTGATAGGTTTCGGCCTATGTTTTATCGACTAAATGGCCGCATATTGCTCCTTTCGACAAGCGAAAAAAGTTTGTGTGCGTGTCTGTGTTATGAGGGTGAAAAGGACTTAATAACTTTTCAGTTGTCTTAAGTTTTTTGAATTTTTTCTGGCTTTTTAATTGTTTCATTTGACAATTAAATAAAAATGTTTGGGTGTTTTTGTGAAGGACTTTTTATAAATCTTAATTCTACTTTTTATCTACTTTTTAATTCTTGTTTTTTTTTGGCTGAAAATTTTTCTGCTGAGGTATTTTCGGCTTTGTAGCCGCTTGGTAAGTTTTTTTTCGACGCTAATTTCACATTCTATTGTATTTGCATCTTATTGTTTCAAAACTAGCCTGATTCATTTTGATCGATCTAGTTTTACCGACACTTTCGATTGCTTTCCGACTTAGCTACTTTCTTCATGTGTATCGCTTCGCCTCTGTGTTCATATTTTCTTTTCGACTGATGGCTTTCGGCTAGCTGACTCTGTTTTTCTGTTGTTTAGCAAGTGGTGTGAAGCTGCCTTGCCTGTGCGTAAAAGTATACTAAAATTGACAAACTTTTGTGTCGTTTGAATGTCAAAAATTGATTTTTAAAATATATTTTTATTTAACTCAGGAGGGCTGTGGTGTATAAGTTGTAGGTTTTGTTTAGGGTTTTTAAACTTTTTTCATGACAACAATTTTTTGTGGCATTTTTTGTTTTTGATTTAGTGTCCAAGTATTGCCGGCTTTGTGAACACTCGGTAAGTGAGACTAAAAGCTTACTTAATGCTGGTGGTTTAGTTTCGACTGTGGATCTGAAATTGTTTTTTTTTTCACCAGTTTTAACCACTTTTTTTAACCACTTTTTTTCGACATTGATTTCTGTCTCACTTTTTATTCGATAGCTTGCAATGCTGTGCTTGCGCTGTATTGCAAGTAATGTCGAGCGCCGCTTCGCCTCTGCGTAACATTTATTATGATTATTAAAAAAATTCTACCAGAGTGAAATTCCTTCCACCTCCTTTTTTGCGTAAAGCGAAAACTGTATCGATTTTTGCTACTCATTTTTACGATGCTTTAAATTTCCGTTTTATGTCAGAAAAATTTTTTAAAATAATCCTGTTAAATTTTAGGGAGAGACGATAGGGTAATTGCCGACCATGGGAAAGAACTACGGATGCCTTTTTTAGATGAAGACTTGGTAGCTTTTCTCAGTAATCTTGCCCCATGGTACAAAACGAACCCGCTCGGATCTAGAGAGACAGGGGACAAGGCTCTATTACGATTAGTTGCCAAAGATTTGGGACTACATGAGGTGTCTTCATTTGCAAAGCGCGCAATTCAATTCGGATCGAGAATTGCAAAATTAGAGAGCAAGTCGGAAAAAGGGTCCGATGTCTGCTCTAGACTGAAATGAAACAAATGCGGACTGTTTCAAAAGAGGACGCTAAGTAATATCTATTTCAATTTAATCTGTCTCTAAAGAATTTCATTTCGTGTCCGTAAATTAGAATTGAATAAGAAAGAAAATTGTCTACGTTTAGCGAGGCTGAAGTGCTGTTTGATATTCAAATAGTGAGATAGATATCAGCAGCAAGTCTTATCTCTGGGTTTATGAAGAAGGTAAAGCTTCATTATATTGAATTTCAGTTCAGGTGAACGTGTCTGATACGCTGCAATTAAAAAAGAACTTTGCACTATTTTCAATTGTAGTAATAGAGCAGCACGTCAATATTCCTTTTATTTTTTGTCTATTGTACGAGTGTAATACAGTAAATTTTCGTTTTTAACGTAACTTTTTTTAGTTTTAAATCTGTTCGTTTCCTTTCAAAATGTCGTTTCCTGACTCGAATGAATACGAACACGTTAAGTTATCAGATTGTGAAATACAAGTTGAACAAAATCTGAAAATTTCATTAAGCAAATTACTCTATGCTTCTGACGATGGCGATGGTAAAGCATCTTTGGCCCTCGGTTATTATGACGATGAGTTGCATCGAATTGAAACTCACAAGGTTTCGTTCAAGGAAGTTTCTGTTACAAGTAAGTTTAAAGATGCCTTAACTTGTCATTTATCTAAAAGACGCTCCAAAAACAGAATGTTCGCCTTTGTAAATCCGTCTAGTGGAGCAGGGAAAGGAATGGAAACTTTCACTCAAAAAGTTTTGCCTATTTTGGAAAAAGCTGGAATTGTTGTTGACCAGCAGATTACCGAAAAGGACGGCGAAAACAGTCTCGGGAAGATAGCAGAACGAATTGACTTGTCCAGATACGACGCTTTGATTATTGTAGGCGGGGATAGTAGTCTTCGAGACGTATTGAATGGTCTCTGGACTAAAGCTGGTAAACCGAATCTTGAGCAGTTGCAGCTTCCGGTTTTTGGATTAATTCCAACAGGAACCGGAAACAGTTTGGCTCGAGAGTGGTATGGGAGTTTTACCGTGGAATCAGCTGTTGCTGCTTTGCTCATGGGAAACGTCAAAAAAGTCCAACTATTTCGAGTTTCGTTTTTGGACAATCCCGAAATTTTCGATATGCTAGGAACAGTATGTGTAGCTTATGGAATATCAGTGGAAATGATAAAAGCGATTGAAGACAAAAAGGCACCGATGTTACTGAAAATGATGTATGGGTTCGGCAAATCAATCATTCAGCATGCGGAACCCTTTGATGTCGAAATCGAAATCAATGCGAATAGTTCTGAAGAGGACAAAAAAAGTAACCAGAAAGTCCGCGTGAGAGATCTTATGGTTCTCAACAACGACTTGTCCTTTAATTCACAAGCCGTAAAGTCGAATCTAGGAAGTATTATTTACTTCGATGCAAACTTCTCCAAGCTGGTTTTCTCCAAAGAGTTTTCTTTGTTTGGTAAGCGAATGATTGACAGGAAAGAACCGTATGCACAGGGCCAGGGAACCGAAGGGTCGATGGGACGATTTGTTGGTAATGTGCAAAATGTTAAGATCCGAATCCCAGAATCAGGAAACTCGAAGAAATGCAAAGACTTCATTAATGTCGATGGCAATTTGTTCAAATGCGAGCCTTCTTTGAATGTCGAGTTTCACCAGAATGTTCTACCTTGCTTTGTAATTGGCTCAACTAAATAGACATTTTACTTCTAAATAGCTTATAGCTTGTGCACGAAAATTGAACTACTTTCTAGTAATCATATTGATTAATTTTGAAAATTTAGTTGAACATGAAAATCTTATGATTAAATCAAATTAGTAGATTGATCATATAAATGATTTTTAATTAAAGCTTTTGAAAGGGAAGAATATGATGAGAAGAGGAATCTACAAGTTAGTCTTCATCGGTGGTGCAAATGGAGACATGTTTTCCTCAAATAAGCAAATGGCATAAGGCTCTGAGCTCATTGTTTTCCGAAATCTCGTTGAATAATTAAGCAAGCTAATTAACTACAGGTCCTTTTTTGCACAACTTATTTCTAAGTTCGTAGTTTAAAGAGCATCAGCTTCATTCGCTTAAATGATGCGAATTGATTGCTGCTTAATATTAATTAATAAGTCAATCTTATGCGAAATTATGAAATTATTCCATAATTTTGGGGTGCTTAATTTTGTGACTATGAAGAAGGAGGTGTTGGGTTCTGATCAAGCAGTCTTCCCAGTTAGTTTTTTCATCACTTTTATATCGTCTTGAAGTATTGGGTTTTTTCAAATTTTTTATTGTTAATGCGAATTGCAGCCTGGATTTTGTGTCTTTTGTCAGGTCCTGAATAGCACACACAAAAACTGTGTTGGTGCAATTTTGTATTCAGGTCTTGCGCCTCGAAAATTTAGATGCCACATAAAAATTCAGACGGGTGTTATTGTGGAACTATAATTGTGATAGTGGAACAAGTGTAAAAGCTTGATAGACATGATACCGTGTGTGCGGAATTTTCATAAGTTGAATGAGTGCAAAAGAACTGCTCGCATCAAGACGAAACACTGAATCCTCTAACCGCCGTGTAAAGGTTATTGCAATCGGGTACTAGACTTTTTTCCCCATGAGCAACTTTGTCCACAGGACTTACTTCTGGGCTCCTTCACAAATCCTCTTTGCAATCTCTCTTTTCTTCGTCCTCTTTGCAAATCCTACTCCTCTCGATTTCAAGTATTAAGCATGATTGAGTTTGTTATTTTAAATATTCCTTTTCAAACTTTGCTTTTTCTGTTCGTGATTTTTCCAACTCGATTTGTTAAAATTTCATTTTTTGTTTTTGTGCTTTTTTCGGCTTAATAGACTCGAGCTTATTTCATATCGGCTTAGTGGCCTAATTTGGAGTGGTTTAAAGAGAAACACAGTTTTTTTCTACTCTGGATCGCAGAAATGCAGAAAATCTTAATATGAATTATAGTTCAAGTTTTTCATGACAACAATATTTTTTGGCTTTTTTCGGCTTGATAAGTTTCGGCCTGTATTATATCGGTTTAATGGCCGCATATTGCGTTTTTCGATGGGCAAAAAAAGTTTGTGTGTGCGTGTGTGTGTTTTGAGGGTGAGGCGGGCTTAAAAACTTCTTATTAGTTTTGATTTTCTTGTGCGTTTTCTTTTCCTTTTTTCGGCTTGATAGGTTTTGGTCTATATTGCATCGGCTTAGACGCCACATATTGCGTTATTTCACGAGCTGTGTTTGTGTTTTGAGGATGAGGTGGATTAAATATATTTTTTAGTGGTCTTGGTTTTTTTTCCTTTTTTTTTCGGCTTAACTGGTTTTGGTCAATATTATATCGGTATAGTGGCGCATGTTGTTTCATTTGACGCGTGAATGTTTGTGTATGTGTGTGCATGTGTTTGTTTGTTTTAGGGTTTGGGGGAATGATAATTAAAACAAATTGGCCTAAAGGGTTTCTGCTAAGGTATTTTCGGCTTTGTTACCGCGTGATTACTTTTCTTTCGACACTAGTTTCCAATTCTTTTGTCTTTTTGGCTTGTTGTTGTTTCGATTTTTTTTACTTGGTGGCTGTCGTGTTTTGTATTGCAAGTGGTGCGCAGCTCAGCTTCGCCTCTCTTGTTATAAATTCAAATTCAGTCAACCATCAGGAGCATCTGGCGTAGAGGTAAATAACTGCTTGAGAGCGGTTCGAATCCGTTCGGCGCCTAATTTTTTTTGCTAACCCAGAGTTTTTGTTCTTTTTCGTGCTATCTATCGCCTGTCTGTATATTTTTGTCAGCTTTGTTCTAGAAGACCGACTTTTTGGAGGTTCAGTTTTCTTGTCCAAGTTGCTCCAACCCCCATGCTTGAGACGACAAAGCCCAGAAGTTTGATTCAAGTCGAGACGCAGAAATGTTTTTTTTTTTTGAAAATTCGGTTTCTTTTCAGCATTCCGAAAGCTCCGTGTAAAGTTTCTAATTTTGCGGGCAATTTTGTTCAAGGTATTTTGGGCTTTTGTTGTAACTTTTCATTGATAAAAGCGAGTTTTTTCTTTGTTTTCCACTTGATTTTAATCATAGTCATTCATGATTTTTTTCGGACGTAGCAGCTTTCTGGTTTTGTATCGCAAATAGTGCGAAGCTCATCTTCGTCCACGAGTCGAAAATTGAAGACCATTTTTTTTTTCTGTTTCCTTGCGTCCAAACGTCGTTTCAAACCGCCATTACTGAACAGAAAATTATCACGTTATTTTCAATTGTTAGGATTGGAAATCTGTATCCTTCGAATGATATAAAAAGTGTGTTGAAAATAGCTATTGAAAAAACTGTTGTCTGGAGAAAAAAGCAACCCCTTGCACAATGTAACGTTTCTATCTTCAAAAGTCGGGAAAATCATCAAGATTTTTTATTTGAAAAGATGATTCACAATTAACCAAATTAAATGAAAATTTGTTCTGCTAGAAGTTAGGTGATTTGTATTATTGGCTTCTTGAATGTCAAGAAAAAACTAAAGTCAAACTTATGATTTTGATTACTTTATGAATTATTGCACATGAAAGCTAGCGAGCCTTGTGCTATATTACACATTCACGTTTTTTTTTTAAAAATCCAGTTCGGATTGAGAAGTGTTCATCTTGGTGATCATTTTTGCTGCTCAGCATTGGCAATTTATTAGCGTGTGTTCCATTAGATTGGTGGCTAGTGTTAACGTTTTTCAAATGCACATGGCAGAGTTGGAACTCGTTATTTCAAGCATGGAAATTGTGACCACCTGGTTGGCATTTTGATTTCGGTAGACAAGTATCATTCCATTTTTCAAACTATTTTAACTTTTTTTTTTGATTTTGAGTTACTTTCTGCCGTATTCTCGACTGTGTTCGAGAAGTGCAGCTTTGCCTCTGTGTTTGTGTTGTAATAATTGTTCAAGATCAATTTAGTGTCCTTTTTTCACAAGCGAGCCTTGTGTTATATTACGAGTCATTTTTTCCTATCCAACTCGCATTAAATAGTGTTCGTTTGGGTAAACACTTTCGCTGCATAGTATTAGCAGTTTATTAGCAAATGTTATCTTCTTTATCAGTGACTAGTGTTTCGGTTTTTTGAGTTTAAGTAGTAGGGTTGTGTAGGGCAGTCGACGTGGTTACTCGAGGCCTGTGGTTCGATAGCTACTTTTGGGCATTCTGTCGCATGTGTTCTCGAATTGCAGCTTCGCATCTGTGTATGAATTGTTATGTTAGCTCTTATTGTTCCATTCAGAGCTTAAGTGTTGCTTTTTATGTTTTCTTTTACTTCTGATTTGTAATTCCTACTAACCTTGTCTATAACTGCAACATACATATTTTGAGCATTTTAGCATTTTGAATTTCCGTCTTATATACATAAGCAAAGCTTGTGTTATAGTATGAACTCTCTTTTTTTCCAACCTAAGTTGCAAATGTTGTTGCGACGCTAATATTGTTGCGACAAAATGTGTTCATTTTGATCCATAGCCAGTTAGTAAGTACAGCAATGCTAAGAATATTAACGTAGACTATTCTTGTACAAATAGCAATTTAGCTTCAAGGTATCATGGATCTTTAGCGTAGATGTAGGGAAAGGTGACCCGCAACAAAATAAGAGGGTTCGAACTTGGGCAGTGTTGGATGTTTTTAATGAACTTTTTCGTATGCTAGTTAAAATGCATCCGCTCTATAAATTGAGGCGTGCTAGTTGGTAAATTTCTTTTTGTTTTCAAATTGACAGGTACTGCTAATGCGTCATAATTGGCTTGCATCACTTAGCAGTTATGTAGACTCATAAATGGCGTGCGTCACTTAAGAAATTTTGTAGACTCAAAGTTTTACTCATTCAGTTTTTCCCAGAAGCGTTATCTGTCATATTTTTGCTTGTCTATGCGAAGTGCTGCTCCGCCTTTGTCTAAAAATTGCTAGTGAAAGCAAGGTTTCAAATATTAGTTTCTTCAAAATTTTATTAGCCTTACTAGTGTTTCAGATTTGTCTGATAATTTCGAGACCATTCGCGCCAAAGTTTTTGACAGAACAAAAAAAATGTCTAAACTGGTTTGTATCATAGACTGGATAGTTCTAAGTTTGCAAGATTTCCTAGAAATACTGATTTATAGAGCTTTCTGGCTTATTATGAGTCCATTTTGCAAAAAAATATATGCTTAGTATTTTTTTACAGCATAATCTTTATCAATTTAATGGAAGTGAATTTATTGCTGCCTGAAATATGAACAAAAGCATGTGCCATCGGCCAGTTAGCTGGAGGTTGGGGACCTATGTTTACTGTGTAATATTTTAGCAGAATGATATAAGGTATTCGCTTTGAGTGGATCCTTCTTTTTTCTTTTGTTTCCTCTGTATAAAAGTTGTAGATCTTTTTCAGAAATGCAAATTTTGTAGTGATGTTAAGACTTCAAATTGTTTTAAGAAATGATTCCATATCTTAATTACGCTTGCGATTATTATGAAGTTCAGTTGATGATTTCAGATTGGTTGAAAATGATTCACAGCCTGTTCATAATCAACGGACAGAGGTATGTCTAGTTTTTAAAAAAAGTAATTATTATATTTAAGTTTTTGACTAAAGTCTTCTGTTTAGGGATGTGTTCATGGAAAAACACTGGAAAAGTGTAGTAAACAAATCAATATGTGACTACTTCTTCGAAGAGCTGAGCAATGTTAGTTTCCGCTTCCTTAACATCAGATGTGAAGTGTTTACCTTTTCAATTTAAAAATCATCCAATTTTTTCCGCTATCAACAGGTTTCATGTATTTAGTAAGCATTGGCATACGAGTCTGAAAAAAAAGCTTGGTTTGTCATAAATCAGTATCATAAAATAGCGTGATCAAGGTCGAAATCGGAAAGATCGTATTTCCGAGAGGGGGAGAGTTTTAGTCTGGTGATTTTGAGATGGTACTGGTTTAAATTGAGAGTGATAGCTTTGTATAGAAGATAAATGATTGTGAAAACACGGAACCGTATAATGGATAGTGAAAATACGGACCCTTTCAAAGCTGAGTTGATGCTGAAAAGATTGAAAATTGAAAAAATTGTCGGACTCATACAAGCTGACGAAATTTTCATGGAATGATTTCGGACTCCAAATTGACTGGCAAAAATAGTTTGATGCTGATGTAAGATGCAGATTTTGATGTGAGGTCTTCCCAATTGCTACAATTTTGTGTTTTTTAGCACTTATTGCCTCTTATTATTGCAGCGTTTTACTTTAATCGACCTTTACTGCAAAACAAACGTAAAATACTGCGAAAAAATGAAATTCCTTTTTCTTATTTTCGAGTTTCTTTTGTTTTGTTCATTCGTTGTGAAGGAACATTCTGTGCTACTTGCACAGAAACCGGCTATCTTATGCTTGTTTGCTTTTATTTGTGTTGTGTATCATTAGGGAAGTAGTGCAGATGACGTGCAACCAGTGATCGCGACTCCGCATCACTACTTGGTGTCCATCTACAGAGACAGACTGTATTTGGTAGCTGTCGTGACCCAGGAGGTGCCCCCTCTCTTCGTCATCGAGTTCCTCCACAAGGTGGTGGACACGTTCACAGAGTACTTCGACGAGTGCTCCGAGACTGCAATCAAGGACAACTATGTCGTAGTCTATGAGGTCTGTTTTCAGGCAACAAACGCAAATAAATACTGGTTTTTGCAAAATATTTTGACAAATTGCAATTAACCAAGTTTCGTAAATTCGAATTTTTTCAGAAAAAAAGTATTGAAAATTTTTCCTCATAAAAATATCTTGAAAGTTACTTGTCTTTTTGTTGTTTTTTTATTTTCCGAGTGTTCCCAAAACAATATTGATTTTCCCAGATTTACCAAAACACTTTCCCAAAACACTTTATAAAAAAGCAAGTACAAAAGAGCCGTTTTGGGCCTATTTTGAACATAACGACTTTAATATTGCGTTACAAAAATTTTAGGGGCTATCGGCCAAAAATTAAAATATTAAAATAGTACCGAATGGGGAACCTTTTGGCTAGCGAGGGGGTCAAATCACTGAGGCGGTGAAAAGGCATCTCTCCCATCCTCCCCGGCTTATAGATGACAAAATGAAATGGTTGTGTTATGTGCAGTTATTGGAGGAGATGTTGGACAACGGATACCCCTTGGCCACTGAGAGTAACATCTTACAGGAGCTCATCAAACCCCCCAACATCATCCGATCTGTAGTCAACACGGTCACCGGAAAGTCCAAGTCAGTATACTTGAAAAATATTGAACAACCTATGTTACAACCTGATTGTTTTCAAGCTGTTGTACTTGAAATGAGAAAATCCGTCATATTCGGCTAACTGGAGTAAAAACTGATTTTCTCAAAATATATTTGATGAGCATGCGCGGGTAACATTTTTTTAGAAGCTGTGTTTTAGATGCTCTTAACTTTTCCAAAAAGCGTTCCGGCACAGGCATCAGTATTACAGGCTTTTTTTACTACTACCATATATATGCCACTAACCAAACATTGATTCCAAAGAGAATGTATCATATTTTTGGAGGTGTTGCCATGGAAAATATGTTGATCTTTTAAATGTCACTTACATATGTAATATTGTAATAGCCAATTGCTTACAACGTCCTTTTCGGCTGACTATTATAAACGTTCGGTGACACAAATCAATCAGTTTACTGCTTAAACCGATTGTTACTCATTGCATTTCAACACCAAACAAAGTGGAAAGGAATCTAATCAATCGAACTAGCTCTTTTCTGATCGAGTAAAGAACTCAAGGTCCCCGCCATTGTTAGCAATTTGGTATCAGCTATTCAACCGGTGTACATGTAGTGTTGTTGTGTATACTGTGGTTAATTTGTTGTATTATGCTGCCTTTTAGTGTGTCAGAGACATTGCCAACTGGTCAGCTGTCGAATGTTCCGTGGAGGCGTAGCGGAGTGAAGTACACAAATAATGAGGCCTACTTCGACGTCGTGGAAGAAATTGACGCTATCATCGACAAATCCGTCAGTCACTGATTCTCTTTCCGTTCTTTTTTATTTTCTCTAATATGAAGGAAATAATGAAAATTTTCAAATGAACTATTTTTCATCTTGTAAAAGATTCGTTTGAAAAGATAGAGAATGAAAGAAGATTGCCGCATATGGTTTTCAATTTTTGCACTTGCGAGAGCAAGTGACTTGTCATCGGAACTAGACCTTTTTCCCGTAAGCAACTTTTCTTACAAAATCTGCTAACATGCCACAATTCTGACATGCTCAATAAAGCACGTGCTCAATTTATTAAAACTTCAAATATAACTACTATGTAATTCATGTGGGGATTTGTCAATTTTTTCAAAAATTAATTATTGAAAAAAAATGTTTTTGTCGGATTCGTTTTTTTTCGTCCTAATTTCTTTCGGCCAATTTTCTGTTTTTTTTTCTAATTTAATTTTTGGATCTGGTGAGTTTTTCAAGCAATTTTTTTTAAAGCTGGGGTTTTGTAGTTTTTGATTCAAACTGTTTTAACTATAATTAAAAATTGCTCTGTTTCTAAATTTATCAACTCTGATTTTCAATATATTTTTTTTGGTTAAACGGGTTCGTTTTATGTTAAATCGTCTTAGACAGCTTGTGTTGCTCAGTTGCATGGGCGAATCGTTTTTAATGCGTTTGTCTATTCAAGTAGGGATGGGGCGTAAAAGTTAAACTGCAATTTTTTTTTAGCTGTTGTGTTATTATGTCAACAGCTTCCTTTTCGGTTTAACGAGGGTGGATCCAGTTTTTTCGCTTCAGTTGTCGCTCGTTCAATAATTCTCAATATTAAGGCTGTTTAAGCTTGTTAAGGCTGTTTATGAACATTTTCTGAGACGATCAAGTTTTTGTTAATCGAGTGGACTTTTTTATATTTTTTTTCAGCAATTTAAAAAAAAGACTTACTTCTTTTTTATTCATTACCTTGTAATGTGATGTTTTATATGTATTGCTAGTCAACTTATGTCGCGCAGTTTCATAGCCGAATTGTTTTAAATGCTTTCAACTTCAAAAATTTTGTAGCTCGAATACTTTTTATGTCTAGTTTGGTTTTCCACATAAAGCGGTTCGACGCAAGTTTTTTCGCATTAGTTGCCGCTCGATTATTGATTCTCATCGCTTGATTAGGCTGTTTATGAATATCGTCTGAGATAGAGCTATGAAATTTTTGTACATTTTCTGAACTTTTTTAAAAAAAAGTTTTCCTGCTTAATTTGAAAAAAAAAAAAGATTTTTTTCTTTTTTTAAAATTTATTCTTATGCAATGTTCCAATTGTATTCCAAACCATTTTATAAAATGAAGTTTTAGTGGGGAATTGCTTTCAAGGCTTTTGACTGTTTCAGGCGGGATGGTTCCTTAAAACTTAACATTAGAAATTTTTATAGCTTAAATGTTTGTCTACAGTTTCGTTTTCGGGTTAGCGATGGTCGACCTAATTTTTTCAACTTAGTTGCCGCTCTGTCATTGATTTTCAATGCTTGCTAATGCTATTTTTGAATATCGTCTGAGATTAAGTTGTTTAGTTTTTGTAAATCGAGTTTTTTGGACTTTATGTTATTTTTTCAGCTTGGTTAAAAAAAGACTTCCTTCTTTTTTCGAGATCATGTAATGCAATGTTTTATTTGTATCGCTTGTCAATTTATGTCGCGCAGTTTCATAGGGGAATTAAATTAAATGCTTTTGCAAGTTTCAGGAGGGATACAGCGTTAACTTAAAACATTTATAGCTACAGTTTTTTTGTCTAGTTTCGTTTTCGGCTTAACGCGGGTCTTCACAAGTTTTTTTTTGCATTAGTTTTTGCTCGGTCATTGATTCCCAATGCTTGTTAAGGCTTATAAGGAACATCGTAATAGAATAACGTATGAAATTTTTGTACACTTTTAGGTCTTTTTAACTTTTTTTTTCAGCTTAATTTTTTTTTCAAAAAATTGAGACTTTTCTTTTTTATTCAAAAACATTAATTCAATTCTCTAATTGTATCGCAAATTAATTTATGAAATGAAGTTTCAGTGGGGAATTGTTTTCAAGGCTTTTGACTGTTTCAGGCGGGATGGTTCCTTAAAATTTAACTCTAGAAATTTTTAAAGCTAAATGTTTGTATACAGTTTCATTTTCGGGTTAACAAGGGTCGACATAAGTTTTTTCGTCTTAGTTGCCGATCTTTCATTGATTCTCGATGCGTGCTGTATCTGTTTTTGATCTTCTTCTGTGACAAGGGTATGAAGTTTTTGTAGATATAGTTTTGGTTCGACTTACTTCGAGTTATTTTTTCAGCTTATTTTTTTCACTATCTTGCTATGTTTTAATTGTATCGCAAGTGTTGCGAAGCTCCACCTTGCCTCTGTAAAAAAAATGCAGTGAACTGTACAACTTTTGAAATCGGTATGTAATCAACTGAAGATATTGTGAAGCGGTTGTCTTCATTTGTCATAAAGTCTGTTCACATGGACTTGATGATCGTCATACATGCTGATAGGCCGGCCCCATAATTCATTTTGTATTTATTTCGGTTTGCAATTCAGGGCGGCACTGTGTCTGCAGAGATTACAGGATGGATAGACGCGGCCATTAAGTTGACCGGCATGCCCGACCTCTGCCTGAACTTCATCAACCCCCGTGTGTTGGATGATGTCTCGTTCCACCCCTGTGTGAGATACAAGAAGTGGGAACAGGAGAAAGTGCTCTCTTTTGTACCACCAGACGGGAACTTCCGACTCATCTCTTACCACCTCAGTTCAAATAAGTCAGTTGAGTTGATGTTACTGAACGAGAAGGAAAAGAAATTTTGGGGTGACAAAGGTGTTAAGTTGCTGAGGGTTAGCGTCCCTTTTCTCGAAATAGGTTTCCGACCATTTTACAAGCGCTTCAGTTCTTTACAGAGGGCCGCAATTGTTGCCTAACGTCAAGTAAAGAGCACGGATCTTGAAAGGCGTATAAACGATCTCTTTATTATGATCTCTTGTCACCGAAGCATCTCTTTCATATTTGACCGGTTTATTGGTAATATTGGGGATGCCAATGAGTTCTCTGTAACCAAAAACAGATGCAAACAGTCGGAACCAGTATTATCTGAGTGATTTGTAGCGTTTGTGTTTAGTGTGGTTGCCATTCCAATGTATTGTCGATCCTCAGTCAGCTTCAAGGATGGATCGGGCAAGCTAGACATCACGATTGGACCTAAACAGACCATGGGGAAACTGGCAAGCTAATTTCTTGTATAATCCTTTGTTAATGTCAAAATGACCAAAAATAATGATGTTGCTTTGATCCGATTTTGAAAAATCTTTCTGGAGCTTTATCCTGGAGAAAATTTAAACTTTAGGTAAGAGGAGAGCATAGCTATTAAAGCTATTATCACATCTTAACCAGAATTGCTCGAAATTTGAATAATCGCTGGCTGTCAAGTACCAATAGGTCTATTGAGCGTAACAATTGATTTTAGCTAGAAGATGTCGTGATCACAGTACCCTTCAACAAAGTGGTTCTCACAGTGACCTTGACTGGCAACCAGGGTGCGACCTCGTTTGATCCCGCCACAAAAATATTCACGTGGAAAGTGGGAAAAATTGACCCTCAGAGACTAACGCCGACACTCAAAGGAAATGTCAGTCACATTTTTTGTAATTGGTGTAGAGTTTTTATCCAAACTTTTGAGAAATCCAAACTTTCCAGAAATGGTACCTCTAAGGTTGCCATAAGTCAGTTGGACGGAATTATACCGAAAACTTAACAAATTAAATCTAAGAGTGTCAAATTAGCCAAGTTTCCAGTCCCGTGCGAAAGTATCTCGCTCTAAAAGCTCTGGACGAAGTAGCCCACGCAAATTGAAATATCCATCTGAGGAATCGAAGCAACTAAATGATCCCAATAGTTTAATCAAAGAAATTGAGACGCCGAATTTGAACAACGCGCGATTTAAATCAGAAGATGAAACGATCGATTCACCGTATATCAAAAGTTAGTTCGGTTTCAAGTGTACCCAGCCCCCCCCCTACACCCCTCTGTACTGGGGATCAGAAAAAGGTGGGAGGGGGAGGGCCGGGCTATGGAAGGCAATAATTATTGCTGTTTTGGCCTCTATCACCTCTCCAAAAATTGTACCTCTAAGATTGCCATAAGTCAGTTGGACGAAATTATTGCCGACAGCTTAACAAATTAAAATATAAGAGGTCAAATAAGCCAAGTGTTCAGTCCCACGCGAAAGTATCCGGCTCTAAATTGACCCAGTAACCAAAATAGCCCTGGACGAAGTAGCCCACGCAAATTGAAATATCCATCTGAGGAATCGAAGCAACTAAATGATCCCAATAGTTTAATCAAAGAAATTGACACGCTGAATTTGAACAACGCGCGATTTAAATCAGAAGATGAAACGATCGATTCACCGTATATCAAAAGTTAGTTCGGTTTCAAGTGTACCCAGCCCCCCCCCCCCCTACACCCCTCTGTACTAGGGATCAGAAAAAGGTGGGAGGGGGAGGGCCGGGCTATGGAAGGCAATAATTTTTGCTGTTTTGGCCTCTATCACCTCTCCAAAAAATTGTACCTCTAAGATTGCCAAAAGTCAGTTGGACAAAGTTATTGCCGACAGCTTAACAAATTAAAATATAAGAGGGTCAAATAAGCCAAGTGTTCAGTCCCACGCGAAAGTATCCGGCTCTAAATTGACCCAGTAACCAAAATAGCCCCGTATGAAGTAGCCCACGCAAGTTGAAATATCCATCTGAGGAATCGAAGCAACTAAATGATCCCAACAGTTTAATCAAAGAAATTGAGACGCCGAATTTGAACAACGCGCGATTTAAATCAAAAGATGAAACGATCGATTCACCGTATATCAAAAGTTAGTTCGGTTTCAAGTGTACTCAGCCCCCCTACACCCCTCTGTACTGGGGATCAGAAAAAGGTGGGAGGGGGAGGGCCGGGCTATGGAAGGCAATGATTATTGCTGTTTTGGCCTCTATCACCTCTCCAAAAAATTGTACCTCTAAGATTGCCAAAAGTCAGTTGGACAAAGTTATTGCCGACAGCTTAACAAATTAAAATCTAGAGTCAAATAAGCTAAGTATCCAGTCCCACGCGACATTATCTCGCTCTAAATTAACTCAGTAGCCAGAATAGCCCTGGACTAAGTAGCCCACACAAATTGAAATATCCGTCTGAGGAATCGAAATAAATAAATAATCACAATAGGTTAATCAAAGAAGTTAAAATTAAGATGCCGTATTTGAACAACGCGCGTTCTGAATCAAAAGGTCAAACGATCGATTCGCGGTTGATCAAAAGTAAATTCAAAATCTGTAAATTGTCCCCAACACCCCCTCCCCCTGTTCTGGGGACCATTAGAAGAGGAGGGGAGGAGCGGTGGATGGAAGGCAAAATTTTTGTTGTATTGGCCTCTATTACCTCTCCAAAAAATGGTACCTCAGTTTGCCATAACAGTTGGACAAAATTAGGCCGACAGTTTAACAAATTAAAAACTAAGTGTGTCAAATAAGGCAAAGCTTGAAGATAATTTAATATTTGAAAAACGTTTGAATCGAGGGGTTGCTGCTCTGCTAAAGCTATTTAACGACGTTATGCCAGCCTTGAACCGCATTGATTGTTGGAATAAGATCTGCCGTCGCGTTATCATAGTGGTTCCACAGATGGGGCTTCATATTTCGGAATTTTTTTTATACTATGTTAATTTTTTATTTTAAGCCGACTAGGTCAAGTCAACTTCGGACAGAATAACTAATCGAAAGAGGACGATTCAGCTGTGCACATTTCGGAGGAAAATTTTTATGGCTATATGTTTGGTTTTATTAATTATTTAGTCGAAATTCTGCAGCTCTATATTTTGTCTGTTTGCATTTTCTGTTCACATGAGTCGCTCAAAGAAAAAGAGTTAGTATTTGTTTCGTAGATCTGAAAGTAACCCAAATCAATGCGGTAGTTAGCTGTGTGTTGTATTTAGGGGAGGAGCGGTGGATGGAAGGCAAAATTTTTGTTGTATTGGCCTCTATTACCTCTCCAAAAAATGGTACCTCAGTTTGCCATAACAGTTGGACAAAATTAGGCCGACAGTTTAACAAATTAAAAACTAAGTGTGTCAAATAAGGCAAAGCTTGAAGATAATTTAATATTTGAAAAACGTTTGAATCGAGGGGTTGCTGCTCTGCTAAAGCTATTTAACGACGTTATGCCAGCCTTGAACCGCATTGATTGTTGGAATAAGATCTGCCGTCGCGTTATCATAGTGGTTCCACAGATGGGGCTTCATATTTCGGAATTTTTTTTATACTATGTTAATTTTTTATTTTAAGCCGACTAGGTCAAGTCAACTTCGGACAGAATAACTAATCGAAAGAGGACGATTCAGCTGTGCACATTTCGGAGGAAAATTTTTATGGCTATATGTTTGGTTTTATTAATTATTTAGTCGAAATTCTGCAGCTCTATATTTTGTCTGTTTGCATTTTCTGTTCACATGAGTCGCTCAAAGAAAAAGAGTTAGTATTTGTTTCGTAGATCTGAAAGTAACCCAAATCAATGCGGTAGTTAGCTGTGTGTTGTATTTAGATTCAGTTCCCAGTAGGCTCTCCCATCCCTGAGAATCCGACTGTAATGGTAGACTTCAAGATACACCAGCTGGCCACATCCGGACTCAAGGTCAACCGACTAGACATGTACAATGAGGTCAGTCTGCCTTTATTGTCATTATATTGTCATTTTTAAGTGGCATGAGCGCAGCAAAGACTTTGTTGTGGTGATGTTTTTGATTTTTTTCCCGGGAAGGAAGTCTTGAAAGTTATTCGCAATCAAATTTGACTTGGGATTTATTTTTTATTCGAGTTCACTTCAAGTTAACGTTCTAAAAGGAAGGCCAATTCTGCTCTCGAGTAATAAAAATTAAAATGGCGCAAAAAATGTGGGTTAAGTCTAGTTATACTTAACTGTACATTTTATAATTCCCAGCGGATTAACAAATGATACATTGATCCTTTTTTCTCAAATTGTTTTACTTTTATCAAAAATGTCTCAACCATTCATGAATATCAAACTTTTGAAAATCCACTTTTGAAAAATCTTTGGAATAAACGCTTGAAAATCTTTTGTTCTTTCTGGATTTTGTTCTGTCAGCGGAATAAAAAAAATGATACATTGATCCTGTTTTCTCATATTGGTTTAATTTTATCAAAAAATCATTCATGAAGTTTTTTACACTAGCGACCTTGTGAGCGTTAGTGTATTAGTTCGAACCTTCTTTTTTAAACTTAACTCGCAAATATAAGCTTTCATTATTTGGTGGCAAAGTGTTCATTATTTGGCGGCACTTTTGCTAAACTCACGATCTGTATCATTGGAAAATTTATAGCATCTGTCCTCTGCTTTATTTGAGGCTAGCGTTTGTGATGAATTAAGCGTCCGTTGCTGAGTGAGTAGTGCGTGAGACACTTGTTCTCTAGATCGCCGTAGGCCGCAGATTGAATCCGAGACCTAGCCGAATTTTTTCTAATTCGAGGCATATGTATACTTTTTGTTGCCTTTTTGAGCGCTGATTTTTTGTGTTCTCACTTCTGTTTGTGAAGCACGGCCTTGCCTCTGTGTAAAAACTTTGTCAGTTTGATGTATTGGATTCATGGCCACTTTTCCAACGGTCTGATGGATGTTTTTGTTCACGGCCGCACTATCAAATGTGTAATTTACTAAGTTTTCTAAAATTGTATGTTGATATCAAAATAGCAGCTGAAAAGCGATCTTAGATCAAGATCGGGAATTAAATTATTATTTTTTCATGGATTTTTGTAGGAGTATGCGAAGCGAAGTCTTCTGGCTTCAAATATTTTTCCTAGCGCTTGCCTAAGTAGTCTTATGATGCTTTTACGTGCGGTGCTTGTTGCGGGATTTTATATGGGGATTAGAATCAAGAAAACTTGAGCAAATTAGTTCTTCGAGTTGGTGTTTTTTATAAGACAGAAAGAAAGAAAGAATTTATTAAGAGTTATTAAGAGTAATGAACGTAGTGAGTACTCTTACAAAGTTCTTGACTTCTTAAGAGTCGATGGACTAAGTTCAGACTCTTATATAGGCGCTGATGATTTTTTAAATAGTTTTTCAAGAAAAAAACTTAAAATTTGTTCAGGCTTAAAATGACTTTCTCGTTTTGGCTCATGATTCCTTTTCAAGTTCAGTTCGTTTTCTGTTGTTCATTTCCTTTGTTTTCTTCTCCACTGTCGAACAGCAGAATTGTAAAGGTCACGAAAAACGTGATCGACTTCTAGTTTCGAAAGTGGCATTTGATTGTCATATTTCCCAGCGGAATAAAAAATTAACCTCAACATATTTTCTCAAATTGGGTTAATTTTATCAAACAAGTGTCAATCATAAATTGTTCTAGAAATTTAAAGAGCTTTAATGGCATCTTTTTTTTTCTTTATGATTCGAAAGCTGAGAATTTTTCAAAAAGTAAGCCAAAATTGCTCTTTCCCAATTGTTTGTAGGCTATGTTTTTTTTTCATGAAAGTCTCAAATTTTGTTCACTCTCGATTTTGACTTTTCGCCGTTTGAGTTATGATTTATTTTTAAGTTCAGTTCATTCCTTTGTTAAGAGGAAAGCAAACTCCGCTATCGAACAACAAAAGAGCGAAAAATTTGATCGAAATAGAATTTAATTTACAGATTTCCCAGCGAAATATAAAATTTACCAATTGATCCAGTTTTCTCAAATTAGGTTAATTTTATTGAAAAAACACGAGTCGTAAATTGTTTCTGCTAAATTTTAAGGGCTTAAATAGGTGCTAATTGCTCTGACAAAAACAGTTATTGGAAAACTTTTATAATCAAAATCATTTTATTGAAAAAAACTAGGTTTTAAAAGAAAAAAAAAAAAATTTTATAAGTACGATCTCTCAAAAACTTGAATATTATGGAGAATCAAAATTTCAGCCTAGAATTTTAAGGCTGAGGATATTCTTGTAGCATTTGCTCACTAGTTGCAAATTTTTTTCTTAATTTTTTTCCTAATTAATTTTTTTTGTAAATTTTGAAAAAATTGCGATTTCTCGAAAACCAGAAAAGTTTGAGTTTACTAGTTTCAGGCTTGAATAGGAACTATGTGAGGAGAGTTTGATAGCAATTGACCACCGGTTGCATGTTTTCTGTTTCACCTTTCCTCTTAATACATATATTTCTAAGTTTGATTTTTCTGTGTTTTTTTAATATTGCGATTTCTCAAAAACTAGGAGTATTTTGAAGTGCACTTTTTCAATGTAGAATTGTAACCCTAAAAGATTTGCCGGTCGCATCTTTTCCATGGTTTGATCAAAAACAATTATGGTTTAATGAAATATACATTGTATCAAATCATCAATACGTAGTATGAAGTTATCCGTAAAATTATATTGTTCATTTTTGTCATTCTATATTTCTGGGTAAAATGTTGCAAAATATTCATATCGTAATTTTTTTCAGAAGTACAAACCGTTCAAGGGAGTGAAATACCTGACGAAAGCCGGTCGCTTCCAGTTCAGGACGTGAGGAGACAGCGTACCAATATGTAGATGTTCACATCACAATCACACCAGCTATCTCAAACTGTATTTATCTGCGAACTATTCCAAATAATTCGTCGGGCGCAAACTTGTCTCAACGATTATATGTTTCTTGAATAATAAATGTAGAAATTTCAATTTAATTTCATATTACTTTACAGCGGATAATAAGTGACTCTTAAGACAGCATGTTACGCAGTGTTCAAGACTTGCTCCAAAGTTGTGCAATAAAATCAATATTCAATGTAAATCTTTATACATTATATCAGTTCATACCATTTAGTTGTATCATAAAGAGTCGTTCTGTGTATTTGGCTTCAATAACTTGAATAGATAATTTTAATTGTAAATTTTGAAAGTTTGCTGCTACAGGTATATCTTTTTATTTTTCAAATTCAATTTTCTTAACCGATGAACTGGTAGCTCATTCAGTTAGCTGAGGTTGATCTGTTTAAACAACGGAAAACCCTAAATGAGCTTGCTACGCCTCTGAGATCTGGTTCGGTCATCAACAGCAAAGCGTTGTTTTTGTGAAATGTACTTGCCATGTAAAACCATGATAAAGAAATGAACGTAGTCTTGCTGATTTGTTTTTTTTTTCAAGAAAAAGTCTTAAAATGTGCATAAAAGTCTCAAGTAACAACAGATGTGCATTCATTGCATGAATGCATTTTTTGAGCTCAATTGAAATTCATCTGCCGAAAGTGACATAAATAGCACTCTCCAAATACGAACGTGGTAATGGCGCGAAAAAACGAACGATTTCAAGTTTCGAAAGTGGAATTTAATTTTTAGAGTTCCAGCCGAATAAAAACTTTACATGTTGACTCAGTTTTCTCAAGTTGGGTTAATGTTATCAAAAAAGCGCCAATCATATATTGTTCTAGCAATTTAAACATCTTTGAGATCATCTAATTTTTTTTGAAATTTGAAAGTTGAGATTTTTTCAACAAAGTTAGTGTGTTTTAGGTTTACTGCGTTCATTACTCCTTTCCAATTTTCGATTGGCTATTTTATTTTTTCCAACGGTCTTCTTGCTACTGAGTGCCAATAATCTTGTTGTTTGTAGAATTATAAAAGTGTATTGGGATCGGACTTTTTATTGGTTTGTACTGAGACGCTTTAAAAACTTTTTTCATGACATTTTTTTAGTACTTCTTCGATTTGCAAAAACTGTTACCAATAGAAAAACCGTCCACTCCCAGGTGTGATTGCTTAGACTTCTAGTCTCTTTTTTTGGTAACCTACTCGCTACAGCCTTCGAAACAGTCTGTCAGTGGGAGTTTTATCCCATTTTTCTAAGGTAATTTTTGTTTTCTCAACAACTACCATCTCAAATCTTAGATTTTGGTGTCAATGATAAGAAAAGGCTATGTAAAGCTTCGCTGCATAAGCAGTAGCGCCCCTATTTCTAGCATGTAAAGTTATGACTTTCGGAAAAATTAAACTTTTGATTTTTTGACCGTTTTTTGAAACTTATTGACTTTCCTCGAAAACTACCCTCCTAAATTTCAGAGTTTGGTGTTAAAAGGTTGAACGGGTTTTGGGAAGCTCACCTGCATAAGTGGTGGTGGCCGAAATTGATTTTCAAAAAAAGTTGTGACACGCAAATAAGCGACTATGATCAATTCTTCATAAAAGTGTATGGCCTTAAGCAAAGTAATTTATTTGATATTTTGACATTTTTTGGAAGCTTATTTTTTCTCGAAAACTAACCTCTTCATTCTATGATTTTAGTTTCAATCGACTGGGCAGGTTGTATGAAGATTCTGTAAAAAAGAGGCTAAGCCCTTTCGAAAAAAAAATCACACTCGGAAAAGGCAAATTTTTAAAGCAAATTTTGGTTTTAATAGGTTGAGACTTTGGTTTTAATAGATTTTTGGTTTTAAAAACTACCTTTTCAAATCAGTTTTTGGGCTGACAATTTTTTTTCGTTATCTTTTTTTTTGTTCATTTTTTATAAAGCTTGCAAGTCTAAATCAATTAATCTTTTCGTTCGGAGCATTGAAAATGGCGAGGAACTTTGTATTCGTGTGTGTTTTAGCTTTCTTTTGTTTTCACGCAAAAGCAGGTAGCACAAAAAATGATCGGAATGATTTGAGTGATATATCATATTGAAGCGGTAACAGTCGTAATTTGCAAATTTTCAAAAAAATATTCCCAGTGTCGAGAAAAACCGTTTTGAAATTTTTGATTTTTCATTTCAACTATCCTTCCAAGACCAACTATCTAAATTTCGTTGAAAAAATCAAATTGGGTTATTTTTTATTGTTCCAACAGTTGAAAATGGGAAGGAACTTTGTATTCGGGTGAGGAACTGTGTATTTTTAAGACTGCAAGTAGCACAGAATGTTCCGATCATAGTCTTAAAAAATACAAAAATTCTTCGAACTGGCGTTCTTTTTCGGCGTGATGTGATAAAAGGAGCTATACAAAAAGGTGGGGGTTAGATATATTCGACAACCATACTAAAAACAACAAATTGAAAAACAAGTTTAAGAACAAAAGTTTCTAGAAAAACGAAAAAAAAAATGAAACAAGGATAGCCGGTTACTGTGCAAGTAGCACAGAATATTCCGGTCTAACAGTAACCGGCTATCTTTGTTTCATTTCGATTTCATTATTTCTCTATTTTAATGATTCTATCAGCAATGCAAAGTTTTATAAAAAATTTATGCAGCAGGTGTTTCTAGCCGATTTAAAGAACCTGAAAGAAGATAATTAATTTTAAAAAACAGTATCATATTTTTTTATAATTTCTCAGTCCGAATCGGATTTTGATCCAAATGCAAAAAATTGTTGAAATAATTTCTTTTTTTTTTCATTTTTCAAACAATTTACTTTTTTATGTTAAATTTCAAGGCAGTATGAGCCACCAAATTAACTCCACTGCAGTTTGTACGCTGTTTGAGCTATTATTACGTTACTTCTGTGTTTGTTCTAGTTTTTTGTTTTTCATTTTTTTTGTTTTACTCTCTGCTTCCAACAGATGGAGTCTAACCTCATGCTCTTAGTTATCGGAAAATATGATTTTGTTTGATATCAAGTGATTAGATAAGACTGCTTTACTTTTTCACAGACATTTTTACCACTTGTTTTGAATTTATCAGTTTATGTTGAATTATTCAAAGTGTAATTGGAAAAAGATAGGTTGTTATTTTGTTTCGATACATGTTTCCCAGTTTTTTAAAATAAATTTATCTCTAAAAGTGTTTTGGATTTTAGTGTTAGGTTTTTTGTTGTTGTAGCACTTACATGTAGTTCTTGCAATAATTTGTAATAACAAATTACACTTCGAAAGACAACTTAATCTTGCATTTTTTCTAGGTCACCAGAACTATTGGAAAAAATGCGATTTCATAGCTTAAGTTTTTGTTTGGGTTTTTTGATGCGTTGATAAAAATTCCATGATTGATCTGGAAATTCTAGTTCAAAGACGAAATTGGCCTGACAGGAAAAAAACCACACAGAGAACAATTATTTTGTCATTGTCTTCGATAAACGGAGCCAAGAGTTCCTTCTTTAATACCGTTCGTTAGTTTAGATAATCTCGCAAAAAGTTTTAGTTAAATCATTTTTTTGCGTGTTTTCCAATGAAACTTTATAAAAACCCTCTATTCTGATAGAATTTTGGCAATCTTTGTGATTTTCATGAGGAAATCACACCAAAAATCTACGTTAGTTGACAGCATTATTGTAAAGTTTGCCTCATATAGACAGCAAGACTAACTAAATGCTCTATCAAGCAGAAAATCGAAGTTCAGAAAGGCGGTAACTGTCTGACGCGCTTTCATGGTATATCATAACTAAGCTTGCTGAGACTTTTTGAGCGGATAGAGTAATTATGGATACAAAGTCTGAATAATTATAGTTTCATAGCTTCAAAATAGTGTTTTAGGCACCTTCCAAGACCAACTATCTAAACTTCGTTGAAAATAGTAAACCAGGTGATTTTTTTTTGTTCCGACGGCGGAAAATGGGGAGGAACTTTGTGTTTTTTAAGAATGCAAGTAGCACAGAATGTTCCGATCATAGTCTTGAAAAAAATACAAAAATTCTTCGTACTGGCGTTCTTTTTCGGCGTGATGTGATAAAAGGAGCTATACAAAAAGGTGGGGGTTAGATATATTCGACAACCATACTAAAAACAACAAATTGAAAAACAAGTTTAAGAACAAAAGTTTCTAGAAAAACGAAAAAAATGAAAAGCAAAATGAAAAAAGGATAGCCGGTTACTGTGCAAGTAGCACAGAATATTCCGATCTAACAGTAACCGGCTATCCTTGTTTCATTTCGATTTCATTATTTCTCTATTTTAATGATTCTATCAACAATGCACAGTTATATAAAAAATTTATGCAGCAGGTGTTTCTAGCCGATTTAAAAAACCTGAAAGAAGATGCTTAATTTTAAAAAACAGTATCATATTTTTTTATAATTTCTCAGTCCGAATCGGATTTTGATCCAAATGCAAAAAATTGTTGAAATAATTTCTTTTTTTTTCATTTTTCAAACAATTTACTTTTTTATGTTTAATTTTAAGGCAGTATGAGCCACCAAATTAAATCCACTACAGTTTGTACGCTGTTTGAGCTATTATTACGTTACTTCTGTGTTTGTTCTAGTTTTTTGTTTTTCATTTTTTTTGTTTTACTCTCTGCTTCCAACAGATGGAGTCTAACCTCATGCTCTTAGTTATCTGAAAATATGATTTTGCTTGATACCAAGTGATTAGATAAGACTGCTTTACTTTTTCACAGACATTTTTACCACTTGTTTTGAATTATTAGTTTATGTTGAATTATTCAAAGTGTAACTGGAAAAAGATAGGTTGTTATTTTGTTTCGATACATGTTTCCCACTTTTTCAAAATAAATTTATCTCTAAAAGTGTTTTGGATTATAGTGTTAGGTTTTTTGTTGTTGTAGCATAATGCACATGTAGTTCTTGCAATAATTTTTAATAACAAATTACACTTCGAAAGACAACTTAATCTTGCATTTTTTCTAGGTCACCAGAACTATTGGGAAAAATGCGATTTCATAGCTTAAGTTTTTATTTGGTTTTTTTGATGCGTTGATAAAAATTCCATGATTGATCTGGAAATTCTAGTTCAAATTTTTTTGGCAACAAGAAAAATTTAAATCGAGTCTAATTTCTTACCTTATCTGAATTATCTATTTATCTGATTACTGAAATTTAAAAAGAGTAGTCACTTTTTGTACCAATGAGTAGTTCGTTTAAGTTAAGTCTGTCAAATTAGCCTGCTTAAACAAAAAAATAGCATGTTTTGGTGCAACTAGCACTAAATGATGCGGAAAAAAAGAAAGTCTGCACAATTCGGAAAAAAAGAAAGTCTGCATTTGTTTTCATTTTTCCCCCACGACTCATGT